CATCCCAATGGGCAGCCAAAAGACAGCAACCAAAACCGGCGCTCGAATATGCGTGGTTAACGGTTGTTCAAACTGAAACTGAAACTTGTTATTTTTACTTCGCACAGGATTTCGCGCCACTGACTTCTATTCTGGGTCATCTCTCAGCGTCTTCAACCAACGACAATCCTCATTTCTTGAGCCCCAACCTGAAAGGAGGGATGCACCAACCGAAGCGAGAGCTGAAGCCAACTTCTTCATGCCTCTACGCCATATCATGGCCTAACAGCCTAACCGCTTTTTTCAGCCTTGCCCGGCACGTGCAAAGAGAGCATGGAAAGGTAATCGATGGGCAGGCATACGCAATACGTGACTAAGCCATCGGAAGCGGTGTAGAGCGATTACTTCCTTTAGAGAACGACTATCCGTTCCCAAAACCCTACGATGAACCTTGTCATTACTCACCCGGTGTACCCGCCAAACAGTAGCAATGCTCTGGAGACATCAGTGGTCAAATACTGAAAGCCGATTAGCATCCTCAACGCGGAGAGGCCAGGTCTCGCAATCGTAAAGGAAAACGCTACGAACCGCAGCGATGTACACCCTTCCCCTAAGGGACATTCGGATGTCAGGGCGGCGCCACAAGTGTCTCAGGTTGGCGAAAGCTGTTCTAGCTTTCGCTATTCGTGATGTGATCTCGTCCCCAACACCCCCACCAGCTGCGATTAAGCTTCCGAGGTACTTAAAGCTCTCAACTACTTCCAGCTGATAACCACAGAGGGTGAGTGCAGGCACAGGCTCCTGCCAGTCTTGTACCAGCGCTTTGCACTTTGATGGTGCAAACCACATGCCATACCTGGATACCTCGATCTCCAAGCGGTTTAAAGTGTCTTGGACTGTCTGTGTGTTGTCACCCAGTGAGGCGATATAATCGGCATATTCTCTGTTCCCTGGGAGGAGTTCGACTCCACCGTTTGCTAGAATGGACAAAGCATTCTGTAGAATATCCTCTATGGCGAAGTTGAAAGGAAATGGGGATATAGGACAGCTTTGTCGAACTCCACTGGAGACGGCGAAGGGTAGCGAAAGTTGGCCATAGGCCCTAACCCGACCTGAGGTATGACGATACAACTCTTCGAGGATCGACACATACTTCTCTGGTACTCCATTCCTCAACAAACAGTTCCATAATGCGGTCCTATGGACAGAGTCGAAGGCCGTACGGATGTCTAAAAATACAATGATCGTTGGTCTTTGGTAGGCTTGACGGTGCTCTAGCAGCTGTCGGAAAGTGAAGATCAATGCATCCACGACCAACACGAAACCCAGCCTGCTCCTCGCGGATCTGTCCCTCACGCAAAAGTATACAATCGGCAGAGAATGACGGACGCCAACAGCTTTGACGCTATTGGGATCAAGCTTATACCCCCATGATTGGCGCAGTTACTGCGCGGGCCTTTTTGAAGATAAGGACGATAATCGATTCCCCTCACGAGGAGGGGACCTGCTCATTGTTCCAAACCTTAGAGAACAGAATTTATAGTTCTTTAACAAGCGCTATTCCACCACCTTTAAATAGAGCAGGGGAAAGGGTTGGATCTCCTTACGGATTTCCGCCTCAGAAGGTGGGTGTGTTGAGACAGATCATGGGACGTGTGCCGGAATAGTTGTATGAGAAGCTGACGCTGGAGGCCAGCTAAGTTGTGCTTTGAAGTGCTCCGCTCAGCGTGCAAGGTGTCGCTGTTGAGTATGAATGGGCGAGCCGTCAGCTTCACAGATCGTTTCGTTCACACCCAAGGCTTTCCTGTCGGTGACCCGGATGAGATGGAACAGCTTAAGGGGATTACCCATGGCGGCAGCACGTCCCATCTCTGACGCGCGTTGAGTCCACCAGATCTCGCGGTCTCTGCGTAGGCTTTCATTAAGTTCACGTCTCGTTACGAGTCGTGTTTAATTATGCTCGCTGCCGGTCGGAATTGACCGACGTGCGTCAAGAAGGCGTAGAGACTCTGCAGAGATTCAGGGTATCATAGCGCGACGTGTCAGACCACAACTAAGCCGGCAGAATGAAGAGCATTCTTGATAAGCGACGGGTGGGGTTGGTACTAGCTCTGCAGCTGGTGCGTTATGGAAGACAGTTAGACAAGCTGGTTTGGACAGCTCATCACAGTCTAAACGTCGTTGTCGTACAATTGGGACGCCCACCGAAGCACATGGACAGCTTGGCGCATACTAATGCTTGGTCGGATTCGACGGGAGGGCTTCAGTACGATAGGCAGTCTTAACTGCAGCCCTGCCATTTGTGGCTTATAACGATGTGGTTTACCTGCGCTGGTCGCTGAATTGAGGAGGGTGGACGCTAAGTGGCGTATCGGCAGTTGGAGCGTCTGAAGTTCGTACTCGCGAGGAACAGGTGGTAGTCGGAACATAGAAACAACAGCCGTTCCCCATTTTCCGAGCGAGAGGAATCTAGTCCAAAACGACCTCCTAGGTGCGCCTCACTCGAAGTCAACCGGCCAACGCTAGCATTCATATCTGCTAAAATCACGATAGCAGCCCGGGTCGCTTTATGCAAGAGATCGTGTAGTTTGTGGTAAAATTCATGTTTGAATGCATCTGGGCTGCAGTCTGTTGCAGCATACGCCGATACGACAAACAAGTTTCATCTATCGTGACGACGGCTGCTTACCTTGCAAGAACCTCTGAGTCTCACTGCGCACAACCTACTGTCGAATGGGATGCAATCCACGAGGGCAGCCTCAGCTCCCTCACTGAGAGTGGAGAACCCTTGCCAGGAGTTAAAGCCACCACGTCCTCGAGCGCTGCTGCTGATCATCCGCGACCGCTTATTCGGACGGCCGAATGCCATCTTATTCAGGGTTAGCCGCGAGATGACGGCCATTCCCCTATCCGCGACCTGGGGACGCGCTCGGTAGCATCCAGCTCTGCTCGACAGCTGCTGAATAAGTGAGTTCCACCCATTGTATTGTGGCGATGTGTGGTATGTATTTACGACCGAGTTCTTAGCGAATCAAACAAAACACGGTACGTGTATTCATAGAGTTAAAATCAAAACGGGATGAAGTTTTGGACGGAACGCAGTCAAGTTTCCCTTAAAGACGTATTGGAATTTCACACACGTCTAAGTCCAGACTGTGTGCCAAATAAATTATAGTACAATATTCTTTATATAAAGGAAGAGAAAGTTAACACTTCAATTGCTCTTTACAAGAAATTACCACATATATATGTACTGCTTGTGACAAGAGCACGATCAAGGTCTCAAAATACTTCTATAAGCTACCTAACCTAACCTAACTGAAAG